CGGTCCCCAGGCCGCGGTGGCTTGCCCTCCTCGCACGGACCCACCCGGAAACGCGGTGGCCTGGCTGGGTGGGTGGGTGGGGGGAGCAGTCCGCTGCACACGGCTCGGGGCGCGGGGTCTTGCGTGGTCGTGCGGGCCGCAGGTGTGCGAGTGATCAATGGGGTCTGCTCAGGGCTCTGTCCAGTTCCTCTGTCTCGGAGATCTTGGTTTTTTTTTTTTTCCCACCCCCCCGGTGGTTCTGGGGTTAGGGAGTTGGGTGTTCTTAGCTGTGGGTGTCCATAGGAGCCGCTCCTGCAACTTCAGAGTTGGACTGGTGTGCGAGCAGGCAGCTCTTCCGAACTCGGCATTCCTAGGAAGCCGGCCGGAGCGGACCGGTCCGCGCTCCAGAGGCTGCGGGAGCCTCTCTGGAGACCGACGGAGCCGTTGTGCAGTTAGTTGTTAGTTACTTGCCTTAACCTGGTCCAGTTTGTACTTGTTAATCCCTTCAGAAAAAAAACGGGGTTTCCGTAGAAAGCGCTTCTGCCTAGATGATTTCGTTAATTGGCCTACGTCTTGGAGGACAGATGCCGGGTCTAACTTGAGGAAAGGGTTAGGTGTTTTTAAAATAACATTAGGGGTCTGGTACTTGGGGGGCCACAGTGCTGACTCTTTCTGAGTGAGAGGTGACTTGTGATGGATTCATTCAAGAGGCCGAGCCCCTGTCGTCTAGTGGTCTGAACAGAAATTAAAGGGGTGCTTGCTAGCCAGGGAGAAATAAATGCAGATACTGTAGCAGGTGAGGCGACAGCATTGTTAGCGCGGCCCCCCTCTCCTCTCCTCTCCACCTTCCTTTCCCGACAGTTCAGTTGAGGGTGACTGCTCCTCCCTTGTAAAGGAGTCTGACAACTTCTGACACAGCTGTCACTTTGGAACTCTGGGAGAGAGCTAAGCTGGAGTCATTGTGGTTGAAATATTGTGTGTGTGTGTGTGGGGGGGGTATTTTAACTGTAGTAAGGTTTCTCTATAGATACATGGGAAACATGTTGATGGCTGCATGTGAAAACACATCTGACTGCTTTGGTGGTGATGATATAGTACAAACGGAATAAGGTGGGGTGGGAGGGAATCTGGAAACGAGTGAATTTTGATTCGTGAGATAAAGTTCAAGGGTTTGCTGAAGATAGCAAAGGTCTTGGGGTATATGTGAGACTAAAATGGATTGTTTTCTTTTGTGTGTGGTGTTTTGAGATAGTCTCACTGTGTGGCCCAAGCCAGCTTTGAATTCATGGCCTTCTTGTCTTCATCTTCCCAGTGTTTGGGATTGCTGGTGTACCACCTCTGTTCTCTGAGAGTTCTAAGAAGACAGTGGAGGATATCATAGGCTGTGAGATGAACGATCTTAGGCTCTAAACACAACCAAGGAGAGCAGAAGTGAAAAGGGGGAGAGGCTGCCGAGCTGTTCCGTGACCATTTCATGGACAAGCCAGATTATTGGGGCTAAGAAAACTCCAGTGCATCCTGAAGTGGAAGGCAGTCCAGGGTGGTTCAAGTCCAGTGCTTGAAGACACCACACCCCTTCCCCCAGAAGACATCGTTGTCTTCCTTCCAAAAAGGAAGAAGCCAGTAGGGAAAGAGAATGAATATAGGGCTTCTACTTGGAGAGGTAAAGGAATGTTTCCTTTTGGGGACCAGACCAGAGATGGGGGGTTACAGAGGGAGGGTTTGAGAGAGAGAAGATGGACCGTAGAGTCCTTACAGAAGAATGACTATAGTAGAAGGGAGATGTGAGTGTGCGGTTCGTTTTAGGGAAATTGAAACCAGTCCCAAATGGATAAAATGACTCTAAAGATTGCCAAGGCATGGGTTTTGGGTCTCTTTACTTGTAGGGAAACTTTTCTCAAAACCTATGGTGTGAAGGGTAGTAGCCACAGTACCCTTTGTTCTCTTGATTTTTTTTACCCCCCCCCCTTTTTTTACCTTCCTGTGAACCAAATGCCTGCCAGTTCTCTATGGCAACTCTTTTAATTTCCTTTAATAAGTTGAATAGGATTAAGTGATGAAAGGTAGTTAAAAAACATGAAAGAAATACATATACCACAAATACTAGGTCTGGTTTTTAATGTAGTCTTCTTTGTTTCTCTTGGTGTTCTTTTGAGTGAAGATAAACATGCTTTGGTATCTGGTTATGGTCTTTTTGAAGCAGTTAATTTCTAAATTAAAGTTTCATATAGGTGATGGGCGGTGGATAATACATTCAATCTTAAGTATGCCCCCTTTAAAGGTATGCCTACTGAAAGCGGAGTTTACCACTCTATATAAGACTTGGAACGTGCCCATCTGGGCAAGTAATCTGGTAGGCTGCTGTGATCTGAGAGAGGGGCTCCAATTGGGGTCTTCTGTAAGGGTTCTCTCTATCTTATGCTCCGAGCTAGAGTGGTGATATTCTTGGAAGAAGAGAATGAGTAAGGTAGAACCTTGGGGACTGTAAACACTAGCCTGCCAGACCGGATAAAGGACAGATCATTGTATATACTGGTAGGTAACTTCCTCTTTCAAAAGCATCTTGTACCAGTAAGCAGAGATTAGCCCAATTTTAAAAAGCCATAATTTCTTAGGTATTGAGTCCTGCCCGACCTGTGGAACAGTCCTGAATAGGGGAGTGAGAATTGAGAAAAAACAGCTAGGAAAAAAAAAAAAAAGAACCATAGAGGAAAAGACAGAGACACAGGATAGGTTCGGGAGGGCTCTCAGTTAATACTGCTGAAGCCCCAAGTTTATTTCTCACAGCCTTTTTATACCCAAAGCAAGGGGGACAAAAGACCTCTCCCTTTCAAGGACACTATGGTTCAAGGTACAAACAAACATAAATACCTCCTCAATTCTCAAGACATCTGACAACCACACCTTTGGTGATATATCCTGTTACCCAGCATTAAGGAGCAAAGACAAACTTGAACTCTCTGACCTTGAGTCAAGATGGAATCAAGCCACAAACTGGGCTCCCACACTTAGATTTACCCTGAATCTATAGTGCGGTGTCTGAGATAAGAGGGATCACAGACAACTAATAAATGACCATAGTTCTGAAGTTTGTGTTGGAAACTGGTTGTACTTAAATGGAGTTAGTAAGCTCTTCCATATTGCTCCAGGTTGTAAACACCACCCAAGAGGACTAGCCTGAAACTAGTCCTGCTATGAGTTCTAAATTTCCTCTCTGTAACCTAAAGTAGTTTCATGTGAAATTTCTCCATTAGCTATGTCTTTTTAAAATGTAGGTTTCTTACTGCGTACTCTTCAGGAGAATGAGGGTGGTAGGTCATAGCCACTCCTATCTGCTGAATTAGTTTATGTTCTGCCACTTGATCTGTAGTTCATCAGCCTGGAAAGGGGGTGGGAAATGTGGGGTTTTGTTTTGTTTTGTTTTGTTTTGTGTGTGTGTGTGTGTGTGTGTGTGTGTGTAGTGTCCAGCTTCTGCTAGAGGAATTATATTAGAGTATAAGACTCTGAGAAGGAGATTTAGGCCTTGAGTTTGGGAGGCTCTAGGGCAGCTAGGAGGATAATAGGAGAATGGAGGGGCATTAGAGGCTAGGGAGAGCTTAGAGAAGTCTGGCTGAACCGGGGCATTCCTTTTCATGGAGCTGGACTCCAGAGGATTCTCTTTGTTGCCTTGGATAGGACATGGAGGCATGAGGCTATAGGCCTCAATGGGGTGCCCAGAGTGAAAGGGATAGACATAGGTATTCATGTCAGATGGAAAACAGGGACCAGTATGTTGGTCTGGGACAATAAGACCACTTTTCACCTACTTTGTCAGAAGTTCAGGAATTGTATTGAGTTCTGCTGCATAGGCTGAGTTATTTTGATTGAAGTTCAGGTTCATTAACTTCTCAACTGGAAGGAGAGGAGCATACAATGGCTTTTAGTTGTGTCCACCTCTCAGTGTGGTTTTCTCAGAAGGAAGAAATTGAGTATAGTGGTTGCTGGCTGGGATCTTTTCCAGGATGCCCTGAGTCTAATGTGGGTGACACTTTACTCAGACATGT